TAGGGAACCAAATACGTTTACAGCAATAAACGTGTTGATTTATTGATTTTGCACGTCACATAATTTACTTTACCAGCATGATGGCATCAAAAAGGGGGCCACATGGAAACAACAACAACAAGGGGCGACAAGAGGTTCCAGCCAAATAAAAATCCGGGGCCCGTGTTTATTTCTCAGCTTGCACGAACCTGTGTTGCTTGCATATTGTATTCCCCGTTTTCCATTTACCATTTCACTTTTTTTTTGGTTGTATACATATCTTGTTGTCAACTCTCGGGTCCCCCTTTCGCCTGTCTGCCAGCCCGATTGTCATCTCCCTCTCTCTCGGTTGTTAAGCTTCAGTTGCTGGTTTTTGCACCTATCTATCTGATGGCGGCAGCAACAACAGTCAGCAGCAACAGCAACAGCAACAATGGCGGGCGACTCCATGCCGTGCGCCATTTTCAAGTCGCTTCTTGCACCGGAAACGAAAGCGGTTTTCATATGCATGTGCGCGTCCACAACACAAACAAACAGCCGAACGCGCATCATTCATCTGTGTGTGTGTGTTTTCAAGACTGCTAGGTCACCCAGCGCAACGCCCCTTCATCACCACTTGCCGTCCTTGTAGTCTGTGTTTAGGTGCCGACAATATGAATTGTGCCGTTCGAATATAGTGACTACACGAAATGTGTTCACAGGAGGACCAGATTTTAAAGGGCCAACCAGTTTGGCGGATCAAAGAATGAAATATTTTTTACGGAATAATTACACTATGCAACATCTAAAATTTACCTCGATAAATGCTATATTTTTGAATTCGTTCCGAATTCTTAAGTTAATCTGCGTTTTCCAAAAAGTTTCCCGACGCAAGGATTCTTAGCACAAGGACCTCAAATTTCGAAAAATGCTGAAATTGTCCAACTTTCCGGAGGTCTCAGAGGCAAACGGATTCATGTTTTGTTTTGATGTTAAAGTTTTTTAAAAGATACACTCTTTATCTTTCAAAGCCCATACTTAGAATAATTTTTGGATTTTTTAAAGGGAGAAATAAATTCTAGAAAACAGAGTCAAAAACCATAAAAGCATACAGCTGCGGTCAAAATAGTAGTAGTTTTGAAGCCCTGTGTTATAAAAAGTTTTTTGTCGTAACTTTTTTTAATTAACGTTGCGCTGTTATTGCTTGATGCAAAGTTCTTATTCACGTTGCGCTGTTGTTGCTTGATGCAAAGTTGCTAAACTAAAATCGTTGTCTTAACTAGTAGGTCTTGCAAATACAAACATTTTATTTTACCAATTCGTGAAGAATTGATGAAGCAACATGAGGATAATTATTTTTTTGTCGTACTGAATTTTTTAATTTAAAATTTCTTAAAAAATACTTAATTTTAAATTTAACAAGAGAGAACGCTATAGTCGGGTTCGTGTCCCGACTATCTAATACCCGTCACTCGGCTAAAGGGAGTAAAATTGACCAACAAAGATAGTTACGTAACTATTAAAATAGTTACGTGTATTTTGTTTTTGCTTTGGGTTTGTGTCTTTGCTAAATGTGTGTATTTTGTTGTTGTGAAATGACTATTTACTAAGAAGAATTGACAATTTTGCTGGTTGGGGCCTGTTTGACAATTATTACAGCTGATGTTACCAAGTTTTTTTTTTGTGTGTAACATTTTTTTGATTGAAAAATTAAAATCGTAAGGGGGCGATTGTGGGCGTTAGAGGGGGCGTGGCGCTCGTCTGAAATAAACTTGCGCTGCGTAGGAAGCCCAAGAATATCTGTGTAAAATCTCAACCTTCTAGCTTTTTTAGTTTCCGAGATCTCAGCGTTCATACGGACAGACAGACAGACAGACAGACAGGCGGACAGGAGGACATGACTCGGCTAGTGACCCTGATCAAGAATATATATACTTTATGGGGTCGGAAACGCTTCCTTCTAGCTGTTACATACTTTTGCACGAATACAATATACACACAAAAAAAACTATGTAAAATCAACATAGAAAAATAGTAGTTCACTGTTTTCTGAATTTTTCATGTATTTTGTTGTTTTATTTTTTTGGTCATTGAATAGTATTTAACAATTAAAATAGTTAAAAAGCTATTTACAAAATTTTCATGTATTGTGTTGTTTTATTCATTTGGCAAATTAATAGTAACGTATCAATTAATATCGTAGCAAAACTATTTTATTTGTTCGCGTGTATTTTGTTGTTTTATTTTTTGAGGCATTGAATAGTGACACTACAATTAAAATCGTAACACAACGATTTTTTACTTTTTCATGTAATATTTTTTTTTTTTTTTTTGCCCGGAAAATTGTAGCATTGCAATTAAAATCGTAACATAATTATTTATTTTTTACATGTATTATCTTGCCTCAATTATTGTATAGAGGACTTTAACTATTTTTTCAATAATATCGACGTCTACATTAAAAATTTCGATACTGGCGCCACATTTCAATATTATTATATCGTGAGTTAAATACAAAAAAACTATATAATACATGTAACAGACTTCGTATTACACGATTTCCATACGAAAAAACATATTTTTTAATGTTTAAAATATATATTAAAGTAGTTTGTTCTAATATAATATCGGTAGTCGCCTAATCGATATACCTATCGGTGCAATCGAACGAATGCCGGCACTATTGCAGCCATACTTTTTTTCTTATTGTCATTGCGTGCAAAAGTGCAGTTTGAATACTAAAGCTAAGTACACACGATGCAAACAATTTGCAGCAAGTTGATTGCTGCAATCAAATTTGCACGTATAAACACTAGTGCAACCATTTTGCTGCAAACAAAAAACTTGCAAATTTAGTTTGCTGCCATATTTTTTGCTTGTCGTCTGTATACTTTATTTTACAGTTATCTTGGTTGCGTCAGTTGCTTGCTTGTTTGCATGTGCTGTTTGCTAGTAGTCGCAATATTGCAGCAAGCAAGGCAACATGTGGGATCGCGAGAAAACAATAAAATTAATTGAATTGTACGAGAATTACTCTGTTTTATGGGATTTCTCGTCACCAGACTATAAAAATAAGCAAAAGAAGCAAAATGCTTATCACGAAATTGCTGAAAAATTAGAAAAAAGTGATGATGAAATAAAAAAAGGCGACCTTACCTTTGTTTCAAGAAATGTTTTTTTTGAAAGGCACCATTAAAACAAGAAAAAATATTTCTTGTTTCAAGAAATTAAATTTCTTAAAACAAGAAAGGGTTTTTTAGAAAGCCACCGTTAAAACAAGAAAAAATATTTCTTAAAACAAGAAAGGCGATTCTTGTTTCAAAGGTGGTTTGTTTCTTGTTTTAAGAAATTAAATTTCTTGTTTCAAGAAAGGGTTTTTTAGAAAGGCACCTTTTAAACAAGAAAAATTCTTTCTTGTTCAAATTTCCTTTCAAGAAATTTTATTTCTTGATTTAAGAAATTTTATTTCTTGATTTAAGAAATAATATTTCTTGAAAGGAAGTTTTATATTAATACTGAAACCCTAAAAATAAAATGTAAATTGGTTTTTTCTTTTGCATATTATATTTATTTACATTTAAAAAATTTAACACTTAACATTTAAAAAATTTTTAATAACACATTTTTGACTCAAGAAAACATTATTATTACCCAAGGTCTGTTGAACTTCATATGACCTAAGGTGATCCATTTTCTTCGCCTTTCCTCATCTAGAAAAAAAGAGTTATTGGGATATCAATGATTTGTTTTTAGATAAACAACTTTTTTGAAATAATGTAATGTTAATAATAGCCAAAATACAAACACGTTGGTCAGACGACCGAGAGAGAGGAGCAAGACAGGTAGAAAATGAAGGGTTGAAAATCGAATTTCATAGAGACAGAGACACGGGAGAGACACGTACATACATACATATATTTACATACAGTCCTTTGCGCGAAGGGAGACCGAATGTAAGCAGGGCAGATCATGTCAATTTTAAGAAGGAGAAGAGAGAACATCGCGACGCGTAGGTCAATCGAACAAGAGAGAAAGCAGCAGAATATGAAAGGGTTGAAAATCGGGTTTCAGATCGGGTGAGCCGCGTACATGCATAGATATTTACATGCATACATAAGTATGTCAAACAAATACAACATATTCTGCTTACCTTAGAAGGTTTTAAAACAAAATTACAGCTTCGCCAAACAAATTATTTGGTTGATGCAACTGCAGGTATTTTCACTCTGAAAAATAAATAAAATGCGAGTAATAAGATAAAGTTATTATAGAACTCTACACCCACAAATTTATATACAAATGTATGTATGTACGTAGCTCTTAGCTAAAAAACAATTCACCTAAATCGGTATACGCTTGGTAAAGAGATTTGAAATTTATCCTTTAATTACATACATACAATTGTACGCCCGCTATACAAAAAATTATATACATATTTACATACCTTTGAATATTTGGAAAAAGGCTTCCCCTCTTATCCGCTTGAAAATCACGTCCATCACTCACGAATTTTTATCAGAACTGACGCTCGGGGGATCAGAGAAGTCGGTAGCCGGGTAGTAGTCGGGCCGAGTAGGCCCTTCGTCCCACTTCGTTTTTCTTGTCGTTAACATTCGGCAGCCGAAGGAAGTCAATGGCTACTTTTCTATATTCTAGGGTCATTTCATTCATATATTCAAAGGTGATTTTGTCCTTAAATACGTACAAAAATGTTTTGGCTGCGACGGCAAAACAAACATATGAGATTTTCATTTTTCTATTTTTAAGAAAAATTCTTTCTTGAATTTTTTCCATCAAGAAAGGATTTCTGTATTCAAAGGCAAATTTTCTAATAACAAGAAATTTTTTTTCTATTTTCAAAGGTAGGCCGATTCAATGGCGAGATTTCCAAAATTTAGAAATTAATTTTTATGAGTGTATACCAGCAAATGGGAGTTTTACGATGCGCTTAAATTTATTAAAAATGACGACGGAAATAATTATAAAATTCAAAATTTGGTAAGTAGTACAATTTATTAAACATTTGGTAGTAATTACTTATTTTATATTTGATTATATTGCCATGACACTTCACCATCAGGCGAAACAAAAAAATTTTTAAATTCTTCACGGATATCTTTTGCTTCAGTGGAGTTTTGCGTACTTCTTTGAATTGGTATGCAGTTTCCTTCTAACGTCAGATCGTTACGCCAAGTACCTGGTACCACTTCTCCATCAACTTCTTTGTCGAATGTTCCATTTGGAGCATATTTTTGTTTTGACTCTTTCTTGGCCATCAACCAGTTATGTAATGCGCAAATTGCAGAGACAACATCTATAGTCTTTTCTGGCCCAAGTTCCAATGGCTTTCTTAAAACCCGAAATCTATTTGCCATTATGCCAAAAACATTTTCTACCACTCTTCTTGCTCTGGAAAGACGGTAGTTAAAAACACGATTTGGAGCTGGTTGATTTCTAAATGGATATGGTTTCATTATGTATTTTTTCAATGCGAAAGCATCATCCGCTACAAGTACATATGGCACCTTTAGATCTCGACCTGAAAGTGGCTGCTCCTCAGGAACATTGAGCTGTTCATTTTGTAACGCATATGATAGGCTACATGCGTTAAAAATTCCACCATCAGAAATTCTTCCTTTGCCTCCTACATCGAAGTATATTATTTTATAGTTTGCATCTGCTAACACCATTAGCACAACGCTGTGCGTGCCCTTATAGTTGAAGTAGGTACTACCACTGTTAGACGGAGCTTTCATAACTACGTGTTTTCCGTCTAATGCACCGATACAATGAGGAAAGTTCCAAATACTTTCAAAATCGGATGCAATTTTAAGCCACTCGCTTGTAGAATTGGGAACCTAAAAAAATTCAAATAAATAATTAATATTTTGTTTACATTTTCATTTCACATATATTTAGTCTCTAACTGAAAGCCCCGGTAACACAATAGAAGAGGCACCATGTTCGTCAATAACAACAGATGACGTACCAAGTACATCGAAGGCAAAAAAAAGAAAACGTGACGAGATAGAATTTAAAGACGAAGATCTGCTTATTAAAAAGGCATGTGCTTTACTTGATAAGCCAGCGGATGACCATCAGGTGTTCGGTGATTTCGTTGCATCTGAGCTCAGATTGTTGAAATCACACCAAAATAGACTTCTGCTTCGCAGAAAAATTCAAAGAGCTATTTTGGAAATATCGGAAATTGATAGCGAAGGCACTTTTACTTGTCCCACACCTAATACCGTGTACTCGTCTAACAATTCGCCAGTTCTTGGCTTTTCAGATGGTAAAAAATTAAATGCAACTATTATTTACATACTTACTTTAAGATATTCCCTTTTCAGGCATTTATATAGAGCTCGACAAGTCTCCGGCACAATGCTTGCAACCGTACTCACAGGAAAGCGAAAAAGAAACATGAGAGAATGATATGAATCACCTGTAAAAAATTGAATTACATAAATAACCATAATAATTAAAAGTTCATAAAAATGTTAACAATATTTATTACATACCCGTGGCTAAGAAACGCAATGTCAGGGCTAATCGCTCATTTGGTGGAATCGCAGGACGCATTGCAGTGTCTTGTTTAGTTATGTAGATTTTTACTTTTTCTAATAAAAAATTAAAATCACTGACTGTCATGCGAAAAAAATTGTAATATGTTGCTTCATCGCCATTTTGTAGCTCTTTTAAAAGGTTCTGATGCAGCCCTTTTTCATCTCTTTCGGAAATCCACTCTTTCACCCAACACTTTCTTTTTTTTGCAGATTCTAATCTTCTCACTTTTTTACGTTTAATTAAAGTTGCTATTATAGCTATAGCAGCAACTCTCGATTTTTTTGCCGACATAATAAAAACACGCCGTTATTCCTTGACATTCACAAAACAACTGAACTTGCAAATGAGTCTGTGTGTTAATGAACGAAATAGAAATAACGAAATAGAAACGTGTAGACGTTAACGAAAAAATACAGAACGAAATAGAAATAACACAGAAAATACAAAACAACGGAACTTGCAAATGAGTGTCACTCGCAAGCACTGCAAACAAAAATTGAAAATACGTGTAGACACTAACGCAATATATTGCACGAAATAGCAATGCAAAAGTTTGCATGCAAAAGAAAAATTTATTGAAGCAATAAATTTTCTTGCAATATTTGCATAGGTGTAAACATTTGTGCAAACTTTTGCTGAAAATTATTTTCCACTTGCTGCAAATTGTTTGCATCGTGTGTACTTAGCTTAAAAACTTCTTGGACAGTAATATCATTAATACGATTTAAGAACCTTCGTGGACAATACCTTCTACAATACTCGAGTGTTCAACCAAAAAAACAAGCAGTGCTGATCCCGTTGTTACCTGCCAGAAGTGTAGTTTGATCAAAAAATGAGTGAGAAAGAGAATTGCGGGAACGAACTCGAGCTTCTCTTGGATAAATTTGGGTGTCAACACATGATCACCATATTCGAAGGTAAGAAACTACAGCAAAAAAAGTTGTTAAACATCATCCTTTTATCGAACTTCAGCTCATATTCAACCTTACTATCTCGGGAATTGTATTTTGGAACGTATTTCCAAAGTAAATGATCTAGGTGTTTTATTCGACAGCAAATTATGTTTTAAAAGTCACATCTCTGTTACTATTAGTAAAGCTATAGGGGTTTTAGCCTTCATAAAACGTTGGTCCAAGGAGTTCGACGACCCATACACAACAACAACTTTGTATGTTTCCATGGTTCGCCCTATTTTGGAATATTGCTCTATTGTATGGAGCCCTCAATATAATGAACAACAAAAATTAATTGAGTCAGTTCAAAAGCAGTTTCTATTATTCGCTTTGCGGCAGCTATACTAGGAATCCGACTAGACACTTGCCACCCTATGAATCGACATTAAAACAAGAGAGAACGTTATAGTCGGGTGCCCCGACTATCAGATACCCGTTACTCAGGTAAAGGGAGTGCGAGGGAGATGGAGATATAGATTGAAAACTTTGATCACGCATAACTTTTTAACGAATGGTCCGATTTGAAAAATTTCTTCTACATTTCGATAGGTATTGATAAACACAATAAAACTGCATTTTTACTTTTCCAAAATATTAAAGTTTTTAAAATCGTATATAAGCGATTGTGGGCGTTAGAGGGGGCGTGGCACCATTTTGAAACAAACTTGTGCTGCGTAGGAACTCCTAAAATCTGCATGCAAAATGCCAATCTTCTAGCTTTTATAGTTTCCGAGATCTCAGCGTTCATACAGACAGACAGACGGACAGACAGACGGACAGACGGACAGACGGACAGACGGACATGGCTAGATCGACTCGGCTAGTGATCCTGATCAAGAATATATATACTTTATGGGGTCGGAAACGCTTCCTTCTCCCTGTTACATACTTTTGCACGAATACAATATACCCTTTTACTCTACGAGTAACGGGTATAATTAATTGATTTACAATCTCTAAAACATCGCAGAATGTGCGGTGGAGTAATTTTTTTCATAAACTGCTTTTAGGTCAGGTTAACTCCCCGCGTCTCCTAAGCTACATTGACATCGCTGTCCCTTTGAGATTCACTCGAACATTTCGCCCAATTCACCTGCCAATTTGTAGATCAAACTTTGAAATTCATGAGCCCTTTAGGGTTCTTTGTTCAAATTATAATTTATTGTATACTGAAATATCATTGGAAAACTAGATAGAAGGTTTATCTTCTAAAATTTATTCCTTTCTTGAGTCTTCGAGTACTCTGTACTAATAATCTTGCTTTGTTAAACTCTTATTTAAGTTATATTTATTTAAGTAAATAGTTATGTTAATAGAAGTTAGCAGTTTCATTGTTAACTATAAACCCCCAATAAATGCAGATATGTAAGTACAACCCTAGTCAAAATTATTTTCACAACACACAATTATTTGCACATCCCAACTTCTTTTAGTTGTTATTCTTTTTGTTGTTGAACAATATCCCTGAAATAAATGTTACGCGTTGCTCGATCTATGCTGAAGCGACACAAAAAGAAATGCGAGAGATAGCGGTTCATAGGAAAAAGCTAAAAGCAGATGAAAAAAAGCTTATCAGTTGTCAGAAGTATTTGCACACGTTTTCGGTGCGTCAAAATTATTTTCACAAAAATTAGTTTGATTTATTTCAGCTTAATATCTAATTTTAACAAAACATTTTCTTAATATTATCAAAATACATTATTAATATTTAGTTACACCACCTTTGGCATCAATGACAGCTTGTAGTCTTTTAGGTATTGACCTTACCAAAGTTTGGGCAAATTCAAGGGTCAATTTGGACCAAATTTCGTCAATTTCAGCGATGACTCCGTCGCGTTTTATATTTTTATCAATGGTTCTTTGATTTTTTATAAAAGCCCAAACGTTTTCGATGATATTTACACACAAAAAAAAAACTTGGTAAAATCAACTGTAATAATTGTCAAACAGGCCCCAACCAGCAAAATTGTCAATTCTACTAAGTAAATAGTCATTTCACAACAACAAAATACACACAATTATCAAAGACACAAACACAAAGCAAAAACAAAATACACGTAACAATTTTAATAGTTACGTAACTATCTTTGTCGGTCAATTTTACCAATCAAATTTTTTTGTGTGTAGTAAGTGCCTGCATTGTCTTTGGTCCAACATAGGTTTTCGGCCTGATCTTTTCTCATTTTTTAAAGTGCCAGCTATTTTGAACTTTTTTACTAAGTAATAGACATTTCTGCGCGAAATTTTATACAATTCAGCGATTTCAGCTGCTGAAATACCGGCTCTAAACTTAGTAACAATTTGAGCCCGGAGCTCAAGGGCTAACTCCCTTGTTTTAGGCATTTTGTTTAGATAACTGTAAAAGATAAATGATTATTTTAATTTAATTTTCACTGAATTTAATTTATTAGAGCAAACGAACCGCCACTTGTCACTGCAAACCAAATACTAATGTCGAAAGTGCATTGTGAAAATAATTTTGACGCACCGAAAACGTGTGCAAATACTTCTGACAACTGATAAGCTTTTTTTCATCTGCTTTTAGCTTTGTCCTATGAACCGCTATCTCTCGCATTTCTTTTTGTGTCGCTTCAGCATAGATCGAGCAACGCGTAACATTTATTTCAGGGATATTGTTCAACAACAACAAGAATAACAACTAAAAGAAGTTGGGATGTGCAAATAATTGTGTGTTGTGAAAATAATTTTGACTAGGGTTGTACATACATACGGGGTGGTCAAGAGTATTTTCACAAATGTTAATGTTAACTGTACTTATATTTTGAACTTATAATATAAACTTTTGGCACCTATAGAAAGAGCACTTCAATTCCGTTTAAATGACACAAAAATTTTCTTAACCCATTAAGACCCCTTTGAAAAGTGAGCAAATTTTGCGAAATTCAAATTTTCAACAAATCAAAAACAAAAATGTTTTTATGCAAAGTTGTTTCCCAATCAAAATTAATAATAACTGCAAAAAAAAATTTTTCAAAATATTTTTCCTTGTATTTTTTATGATTTTTTGAATGGAGACCTCTCAGTAAAATTTTGTATGAAAAGGAAGAAAAAGCGGCAAAAATAGCTATTTTCAAAAAATCATAAAAAATACAAGGAAAAATATTTTGAAATTTTTTTTTGTAGTTATTATTTTTTTTATTGGGGAACAACTTTGCATCAAAACATTTTTGTTTTAAGCCCCAGAAAAAAATTTGAAAATTTGACTTTCGAAAAAAATGGTCTAATTTGCCCACTTTTCACAGGGTGCTTAATGGGTTAAGAAAATTTTTGTGTCATTCAAACGGAATTGAAGTGCTCTTTGCATAGGTGCCAAAATGTTTATATTATAAGTTCAAAATATGAGTACAGTTAACATTCAAATTTGTGAAAATACTTTTGACTAGGGTTGTATATAAGGCCAGCGCAAATATTTTTGGTTAGCATTCTAAAGTGGTTTTTGTATGTACATTGTACATATGTATGTACACTAGGGTGGACTTATTTTGTATGAAATTTCTAAGGCCATGCTCTCACGCCTTCATATATGGCTTTTTTGTATCCTTAATCCATAAAATAAAGAAAAAGTAAAAAATAATTAGTTTTAGTCGGTGCGCAACGGCTTTAAAGTTTATTACGCATTCTTCAGATTCATCTAGATGCCGTAGACTTGATTTTATACTTTGACAGTATTTTAAAAAGTATCTTAAGGCATTTTTCCACTATGCGGTTTTTTCGGTATTTTTGTGTATTTTCGATTGGCAACGCGATAGGCGGACGTGAGGTGTTTCCATTGGCAAACGCGTCTGAAAACAGCTGTTTTGATATTGTCATTTGCGAGCTGAAGTAAACAATGGATTTAAATAATTTGTTATTGGTAATTGTAATCGCAGAACAGCTTTTGAACAGCGTAAAAACATTGCTGCAATGATGAAAGCAATAACAACATCCCACGTTATGCTACTTGAGCATTTATTACGGCAGAAAGCAAAAGGATCTGCAGCAGAAGGCGTTCATATATATACATAGATCCGAACAGTCATTTAAATAATTCTTTGACACGACCCGCGACAGCAGTAGCTGAAGCTTTTGCAGCGGCACGTCACTGAACAGAATCTGAGACGGGGCTGAAACGCCTACAAGGACATCGTGCGCAAGAAGGAGGGAGATGGCCCTTTTCCAGCAGTCGCCTGTCAACGTGTGTCATTTGAATATGGAATGGCCATCTATGGTCAAAGCAGATTTTGCTCAAGTGCGACCAGGAGATCGCCTTAATAGACGAATGGCGCACGCGAAGCAAACGTCAAGATCATGAAGCGGGCAACTACCAATATTTCGCTTCCGATCCTTTCT